CCTAGGGAAAATGAGGTTTAAATGCTGTACGATGTGGTCAGAGTTGCCCATAGCCAGTGGCTCAGAGCATATGGGTTCTCCCACAGGTGTTGTCAACAAGGCCAGTGTGTGCAAAGGGGGTATCCAGGATGGTCCACTGTTCTCACCCCATCAAGCATGGGCAGACCAGTACTCCAGGCATTAGTCCCTGTGCCTCCTGTGCAATGGACCAGTTTTTCTCCCCAGATGCTCCCTGAATGCACACAAAAATTTAAATTTGAGCTGGAAATATCTGTTGTTTGATGGTCATGATGGAAAATATCAAACCAATAATGTGCATGCACTTTTCTGCTGCTTCGTACAGGCTTAAAATAATTGTGTAAATAAAAAGGACATATAAATATTTCCTACTTCTTTCAAGGGGATAAAGGCAGGGACAAAGTGCCATGTATCTCTCTGTGCTGAACATGTCAACTGTATTCCCACAAGTCTCCACAGAGCGATAATGTACAGGTCTGTTCAAATTCAATAGCCCCTTCAGGAGGCTTAGGCTGCCATTCAGTTTGGGCTTAGGGACTGGAGTCTATTTTAAAGGTAGAAAGATGGTGATTATAAAAGGCCATAGGCAAGAAGAAACCCTCTTATAAAGATTACAGAAGGGTCACTTAGAGTCTTATAAACTTGAATGAAGAGCCAGAGGAATTTTTTTTTTTTTTTTTTTTGTTAGACTTGAAAGTGCAGCAAGATTGAAGCTTTATGCCTTTGAAATAAAATGGTGGAAGGGAAGCACAAGATTTTACTTTGGTAGTTCAGGAAATATTAGTCTTGTAAAACAGAGTAGCTATAGATTTTCTTAGTACTCTAAACAGCTCTTTTCACTTCCCTGGTGCAGCCTTCCTAGAAGACATCATCTCTTATGAGTAAAGATATGTATTAGATCTGTATTTATGAAACACAGTATATCTAACATCTGACAACATACAGAGAGTGCTAGCAGGGAGGAGAATCAAGTCATGCAGCTGACACTCAAGTTTGAATTTACACATATAATCTTTAGTCCCTGTGACCTTCCTTCTACAACAGGCAGGTGAAAAATGTTGTTCAGCTGTCTAAGCACCTTGTGGGAAAGAATGCAGTCAGATATTGATCTGTATTTATTGCCATTAAAGTGGCACACTTGTATCAGCAAGATGGGGGTTGTCACTGGCTGATAGTAAAATGTCTCTGCAAATGGAAACCCATATCAGCATCACTGGAGACCTGCAGAAGTACAGAGAACCAGATAAGGCCAAGCCACAAAACCCCAGTAAGGCTTAGCGTCTGTGAACAATTTCTCGACTGAAGGAAGTACAAGTATGAAACAACCATCACAAAGAACATGAAGTCTAAAGGTTTGTGCCATGCTCTTTTGCTTACTCAGATCCATAAGGGAAAAGATGAAGATGAGGAGGAGGTGAACCCCTTTCAGTGCTCCAGGTAGGAAGATGGCAGCAGAACTTCTGTTTTGGCCCAAAGTGGAAAGGCTGAGAGCAGTCACACTCAGAAGACAGAGAAGCCTCCATGACACAAGGTTGTTGCCCTGATTTTTAAAATGTTAAGTTTTATTTTATAGTTCTTTTGAAAGTTTTAAAGTTCTCATAAAACTTCTTTAGCCTTCTGATAATGTTTACATATTTGAGAGTTCCCACACAATTTCATGTATAAATAGAATAGTTTACATATTTCTCTGTGGGTGGAGAGAAATGATTGATTGATCTTTGGACCAGTGTGGTTGGAGAGGTGGTAATTCCATCCTCCAATCCACGGTCACCTTCAGAATTCTATAAATACCAGATGTTTGAGTAAAACTGTGTCTTTTTCTCTTTTGAACTTACCAAACTTCTGTGTACTCGTTTTGTGTCCAATAGCAACACGAGGTCAGGAATGGACCACCTGCCCTGATTGCAGTAGGGCTGGTCTCCAGAAGAGCCCATGAGTAAGACAGGTGCAAAACTAAGTAAGCACTTTTGGAAGTTGAGTTGCTTATGATAAAGGCATAAATAGCTTCAGTGTCTTCAGTGAGGCTGGAATGGAAACTTAATTCTTTTTCTAAGCTTTTGTTTGATAGAACACATTTAGGCTGTGGAAGAGAGCCCCATCAGAAAACAGACCCTGTATGAAACAACTCCACAGCCTCTCTAAGAGGGACTGCAGAACATCATTGCCCATTTCAGTTCTGATCTGAGCTCTTAAGTCAAGACAGGCTTTTCAAACAACTGTGGCAGTCTGAGAAACCGCAGCAGTGACAGGGGGAGGGGAAGCAGCAACAGGGAGGAGTGGAAATTTTGGAAAAGAGAAGCAGAAAAGCAAGAACTAAAAGCAGGAGACAGATGATATGAAGCTGTGTCAAAAGGGGAAGTGGGAAGGTATAAAAGGGGAATATAGGAAGTGGGACAGTTTGCAGTCCAGTCAGGATGAAGCAAATTAATATTTACCCTGATGAGCACCCAATGCACAGAAAAGTTCTCATGGCCGCTCAGGACTGCCTGAGAGACACGTCACATGAAAAAAAATCCTGGGAGATGAGAAGGTATGCTGTGACCATGTCCTGTGTGTGCAAAGAAATGGGCACTGTGCTGCCTCCATGAAGGATTCTCCCTGCTATTCTGTCTGTGCTCAAGGACAAGCCTCCTGCTCAGCTCCTGCCCTCCTGTACAGGGCTGTGATGTGCAAGCACCATTTCTGAAAGAACCCCCTAACTTTTATTCCATCATCTCTGAGGGGGCAAAACACCACAGAAAGAGAGGGAGAGATAGGTAGTCCTCACTGCTTTGGATCCTTGTTGGGGAAAAGCGGTATCATGAATTTCATCCCTGCTCTGCAGTCTCACATGAGTGCCATGCAAACCCAGCACATCCGGGTTGCTCTGAGGTGACCCAGCTCAGGACCCTGAAAACCTCCCAGAACAAAAGTGTCTCACTGAGGAATTAATTCCCTTTAGCATCTCCCTCAAACTCAGCAAAGGGAACAAGAAACCACAGATGTTTGCCCTGCTGCACATGCAGAAGGAAACTCAAGTCAAGAGCACCTCTTGGTGGTGTGAGAGGACATCAGAGCAGCACCAACACATCTGTATATGCTCAGTCCGGGTTTATGAGCCTGTTTCCCGCAGGTTCCTTCCTTTTCCTGCAGCATGCACAAATGAAAGGTATTAATGCAGCAGATGCCAGTTTGTCTTAGAGTGATTACTGTATATGTTATTTGAGTGTAATATCCCATTATTAAATAATCCCATTTAAATGTGATGGAAAAAAACATCCTGAAAGCTTTTATGTAGATCCCTGTTGTCCCTCTACAGAGATGCTGGTGAAGGAAGGATGTTTATAGATTCACAGCACAGACTTCTGACTGGACAAGAACTGACTGTCCATTGCAGTTGCAGAGAATTACCTTGCAAAAGTAATTTGCCCAGAAATAGGCTCTTGACAGGACTTCATAGCTCATTGCTGGACATGCAGATTTACAGTGTCTTTGACATTGGGCCCATCTGTATGTGGGTTCTCCACAACAGTGCCTCTTCCCCGACCAAATAAACTGGTCATCTTCTCTGGTCCCTTTCACACTGCCAGTCCCACAAGCCTATATGCCAGACTACCAGGACAAAAGCAAACACTGGTGTTCAGGCGTTCAGCAAGTCAGTGGTCCTTGCTTATCCCTGCCACCAGGTCCTAGAATGGTTTTTGCCTTTCCACCAGTAGCATCCTCTAGAGCCTGATACACCTGCCTTCCAACTGAGTTCATATATTCTGTGCCTGCCTGTCCTTTCCAGCTCCCCTCTGTAAAAGCCTTTGTCCCTCTCTCTTATGTCCTTCTCTGACCTGGATTCCTGTGTGCCATTCCTGCTCTCACTTGCAGAGGTGTCAGAGGGTTTCCTTCCTCCCGTTTCCCTACCACCCACAGAGGGAACACCTCGTACAGCTGCTCATTTTGTACTTCTGAAATAGCGACAAGACTTGTTAACGTTCCATGGTTGAAGGTTTCTGGGCTGTAGCCAGCACTGAGTGACAGCTGGGAGCACTCTCCTCCAGAGCAGGTCAGTCACAACAGCCTCCTGTGGCTGCAGCAGCACAAAGGTCATCAGCCTTTGGAGAAACACTTTACTCAGAGTTCCTTCCTTAAGGAACATCCCAGCTTCAAATCCACTGTTCTTGCTCTAAATGGTCTCCAGGCAAAGCCTGGAAATTCTTAATTAATTCTGTGCCACCATATCCCCTCTTTTATAAAACCCATCTCCTGCCCGTCCACTCATGGGGTCAGGCTGGAGCACCCAGATGTGAACACATACACTCTTTCTGAGGCTTAATGTTGCATGGGAGGAGAAGGAAGGAAGAGGAGGCAAACCCTCATTTCAATAAAGAAAGGAGTAGAGCTTCCCGAGATCATTCTGCTTTTCCCTCTTCTTTCTTAGGGTGATTGCTTTCTCTTCTCAATGCTTAGCTCTAAAAATCTTTTCTGAGGACGGTGAGGACTGCCTGAGAGAGCTGGGGTTGTTCAGCTTGAAGAAGAGAAGGATGTACTAGTAGTCTGGGCAGGTAAGTAAGTGCAGCAATACCTTTTACCCACAGTAGAGGAACAGGGCAGCCATTGGGTCGCAGCTGTTTTCTAGAGGCTGCATGACTTCCTTGTCCAGCTTTCACAGTATTGTTCCTTGTGATGTTTCACTCTTGACACTTAGGGGTGCTGTGAAGACCTGAAAAACCTTCATGACCCCTCTTCACCCTGGTACTCCCACTTCAGAGTCCCTTCCCTGCTAACACCTCCTCCAAAGCTTGGATGATAAAGGAGGGAGGAGAAAACCCACCCTTCCACATTCTCACCCCGTTTCTAACCCTTGTTCAGCTCCCCTGGGAAAGCGGTTTGGTGCCCCCCGCTGTCCATTGGGATGAGGTGGGAAGGGGGTGGGTGAGACAGGCAGGGAGAACGAGAGATGTGACAGCAGTCGTCACCCCGGCCGAGCAGTCACGCCCGCCCCGCCTTCAGCAGCGGCCCCTGCCACTGCGCTCCGCTGCGGCGGAGGGCGGAGGGAGCGCAGGGTGATCGAGAGAAGTTCCCTCTTCCACTTCCTCCCTCCTTGCAACCTGCTGTCCTGAGACCCACATTTGCCCATCCCTCCCTGCTGTTTGCCTTGGCCTGACTTCCCTTTGCCTCGGGCACCGTCCTCCGCCACGGGTCCAGAGCCATGCAAGCCATCAAGTGTGTGGTGGTGGGAGACGGGTACGTACCGTGCGGGGTGCTGGGGGCGCGGGCGGGACAGGCTCTGACCAGGGCACGGAGAATGGTGGGTGCTTGCTGAGACTGGCCCCGCTTTGCTTCTGACCTCCTGCGGGCTTGCTACCACTGCAGACATGCTCGCTCCTCCCTCCCCGGGGCAAGGGACATTCCTCTGGGAGAGCGTGGAAGAGGGCATTTCGCCGGGCATCTGCACGGGAGTGCTGATCATGCATCTGCATTTCCATCTGCATTCATGGGAAGTAGAGCAGATCCGTCCCACACACAGGAGGTGATGGTGTCCCTGCCAGATTCAACTTGTAGGCAGGAGTTCGATTTAAAACCCATCAGGTGCAAGTGCTCTCCTGCAGGTGAATGGCTCCTTGAAAGCCGTGTGCTCACTGGGAATGACTGGGAGAGGGCATGGCACTCTGGTCCTGGCAAGATGTCTATCAGGGTCTCCATGTTCAGCTTTTCTCAGCAGGTTAGCTCCGTACTGGGGTGTGCTGGCAAGGGCCCTCTGTGGAGCTCTTGATACTGAGATAGGCAAAAGTATAGGCCATTTTGGGAGTGGGAGCTAACAAAACCTTGCCTTCACAACATGGTGGCTTCTCTGCCCATGTCCCCTGATGCCTGGAAATGGCCTGACCCAAGACTTCAATGAGTTAAGCAGTCATCGCTGCCTGGGGCAGGAAGGATACAGTGGGCAGAGCGCCTTCCTGCCCTGTGGGATGAGTAAATGCAAGGGAGGGAAGGAGGAGAGTCTGTGCTTGAAATGGAATAGCTTAATTTCTTTCCACCTAGAAGCTGGCCAGACTTATCTGGGGCAGCTGTAAGGTAGTAGATAAAGAGACATTTACAGCAGTGCTGCTCCCCACAATCACTTCCTCCTTTAGACCTCGCCTGGGAAAGAAGATGTCTGCACACATACCCGTACATGTCAGACATGTTCTCAGGGGCTGGGGCAAGGGGGTGGGGAGAAGGGATGAGGAAAGACAGACCCCCAAATAAAAACTTTAACCTCTAAGAAAGGTCCCTGAAGGCTTTAAACTGGAGCTGGATTAACAGCTCCACTGGGCATTTATCTCTTACCCAATTCCCCATCCTGTTTGCCCCTCACACAGAGCACCAACTGTGTAGCCTTCCCTCAAGGCAGCATCCCCTCACATCATGGTTAACCCCACCATGTCCTGTTTTACCAATAGGCAAAGCCTTTATAAAGCCTTAATTTTCAGTAACAGTCCTGCTCCCAGCGTCTAGGACCTCAATTCCTCTTAAATGTCTTCTGCCTCATCATTTTGCTTCTCTGTACATTGCACCTCTGTACACCTCTCACCATCTTGCAACACAACCTCCATTGCTCTGAGCTCTTGGTTCACCCCTCACCTCCCTCCTGGCCATGCCAGCAATGTCACTCTCTTGGCTCAACCCAACAACTACAGGACCTTCTCCTATCACTCAACTCACGTGTTGTCCCATTGCTGTTCTCCCACTATAACCCCTCCATCACAGATCACTGACCTCTTAACATGCCCTGGGTTCAATCACAGGAGCCTGCAGATGCCACTAACCTCACCTCTGTGTGGTAACCTTCACCCCTTCACTGACCCTTTGCACAGCTCTCTGTTCAACCACACTGATTCAGAACTTCCCCCTCATCCGTGACTGATCCACTCACAGGCCCATCGATCTCCTGCGGCATTTCCTGTAGAGCTTCACCTCCCTCAGTAACTCCATGATAAGAAGGAAGCAAGGCACCTGGGGAAAGAGCAGGGTCTGAGAGAGGAGGATCTAAGAAAGGCGGGTGGCAGGAGGAAGAAACAAATGTCAGAACATGCTGAAGAGCTCAGCTTCCTCCTCAGCTGCCCTGCAGCCAGCGACAGAGGCAGGTGCCTTGTGACCAGGGTGCCTGTCAAGGGCACACAAAAAGGCAGAGCTGCAGCCCTATGGTAGGGGACTTTGCAGCTGCAGCTGAGATGGTCTGAGAGTCTCCAGCAGCAGAATTCCAACCTTTGCCCAGAAAAGACCTCTCCCCACTTCTGGGCTGTGCATGTTGAGGTAGGTTGCTATCACCTGCCTGTGTCCTGTAACTGAAAAAGGGCCAAGCTTTCCTAGGCCACACAAACCTGAGAAACAGCATCCCAGCAGGAGAAGGATTTTCTTTCCAACACCTGTGTTGGCTGCTTAATTTTCTTCCAGTTTCTCTGCACTTCTTTCCCTCACCACAGACTTCAGCTTGCCCACAACACCTTCCCCCACATGATAGCCTTATTGCTCCTTATCCCACCAATGCTCTCAGGCAGTCTGGACTGTGTTGCTACCTTGCACTCCACCCTTCTGCAGCAGGCTGTGGGGGAGGCTGAGGGGAGAGGAAGCACCAGCTTCTTATCTCAGAAACACCACCAGCAACCTCCATCAGCCATGGGGGCAGGCAGCTTTCTGGCTCCTTACAGCTCTCTGTGCAGGTGTTGCTACAGCTTGCTGTAGATGGGAAAGACTTGCTTCCAGTCCCTGGCCACAGCAGCTGAAAAGCAGGCAGGAGTGCCTGTACCAGAGTGCTGAAGCTGGCAGCTTTGTCATGGCACACCAAGCCAATGCATCTGTCCTGGCTGAGAGCCTACAGCACTCTGCGTGCACTATAAAATGGGCTCCCACCTCCATCTCAGAGTGGATGTGTTTTACCTGAGTAATCTCTGTACTAGACCATAAACAAGCCTTCATGCTCAAAAGCAACAGACATTTCTGGGCGACATCCTGTCTTTCTTCCTGCCAGGTTCCTAACCTGTTGTTGTGCGCTGTCTGGCCCTGTGAATGTTTTTCTGCTTCCAGAGGTCTCCAGATAGAGCTAGGTTAGAGGTGTGGAAGGATTGCCCCATCTCCATCTCACCCTAGCAAGACTGCCTGCGCTGCCATGAATTCCTGCCATTGTTTTCTTTCTCTTCCAGGGCTGTGGGAAAAACCTGTCTCCTTATCAGTTATACCACCAATGCCTTCCCAGGAGAATACATCCCCACTGTGTGAGTAATTCATAAGCAGGTCCTGGAGTGGGTGGGAGGCATTAAAAGCAGGATGTGAAGGGCTCAGTGACCTCTTGTTGTGCACTCCATGGGTCATAACCTCCATGCCAAGCAGAGGAAACCCAGTGAAAGTCTCTCTAACTTTGGATCTGTTACCTTTCACAAGAAGCAACCTTATAAAACCCTGGTGTAAATGGGATATTTGGGAGACTCCAGCCAACTCAAGGTCTACCCGCTTGCTAAGTTTACAAGTGGCAGATGGGATCCTACTAGCCAAAACAAAGAGACACTAGGTTACAACAACTGGGCCAGACCCCAGAGAAGGCAGGTGGATGGACATGGGACCCTGCTTCCTTCCCTGTCCAAAGCACTTGCTGTCATTGAAGCAGTCATAGATTCTGCATGGAGCAGAGTCACAGAATTGGTTGGAAAAGACCTCTGAGATCATTAGGTCCAACCATTAGCCAAGCCCTGCCAGGCCCTCTAGTAAATCATGTCCCTTCTAACGTGCAGACGCCATGAACACATTCATAAGACCTTTGTGGAGGTTCCTCCCTATCACTGGTTTCCCTTAATCTGGGAAAAAAGTACCAAAAGGACCAGGAAATAAAATTTTCTAGGATGAGGGTAGGAACTTTTCTGTTGCTTTATTATCCTTTTTTTTCCTACCGAGACTTTACTCCTAAGCATGCAATCCTGACAGTTGTTCTAAAATATTTCAAGCTTGGTTGTCAAAGGGTGATGTGATGCATTGTTCTCAGTTCCAGCAGGGCTGTTGAAGAGTGCAGCAAACTACAGAGACATGGATTCTTCTTCACTTCTAAGAATAAAACTAGGTTTTAGAACACAGAAGAAAGACAGGGGCTTGGCTCTAGAGCAGACACAGTTGTGGGAAGGATATTGGAGGAAAAAAATGGGAAAAGAAAACAATTTGTGAACTTGCATGCAAGGTATAAAAGGTGTAGCTGCAGCCAGGCACCTCTCCAGAACAGCTGAATGATGGGGAGGAAGTTGATGAGTGAGGATTCCATAAATTGGAGGTTAACAGGAAACCAGTGTCACGCAGGTGAGCTGAGAAGAGGAATCACCACCCTTTGCTCCTGGGTGCACCTAGTGAACCCCACCTACACTACTGGAAGGGCTCCCTCTTCTCCTGTTTGAGCCATAGCCTATGTCTCTGAATTTCAGATTTGATAACTATTCTGCCAACGTGATGGTTGACAGCAAGCCTGTAAATCTGGGACTCTGGGATACTGCTGGACAAGAGGATTATGACAGGCTGAGGCCGCTCTCTTACCCGCAGACGGTGGGTCACACTCCCTGCCCCTCCTCCCTTCCTCCCTCAGCTGCATCTCCATCCCTCACTGCAAAACCCAACATGTGCCACAGAACAGTGACAGGCTTGTTGCTGCCTCTCTCTGCCCTTTTCTGAGAATATCTCTGTTGATATACAGCTGCCTTGAAACCGAAAGTTGAAAGATTTCTTAAAGATATTTTGGAGCCTTTATCTAAATTCGTGTAACTGGTATAACTGAGCAAGAAAACAAGACATTCAAAGACACTCTTGAGCCAAGCTGACACTGACTTTGTGTGGGGCAGATGCCTTGCACAGCCCTGGAAAAAACCTTCCCTTTGTAAAGTTAAGGTGGTTCATGGAATTTAAGAGCTGAGGCAGGAGCTTGTCACATTTCTATGAACCCCACTCTCCTGACTTCTGCCTTTTAAAAGAGATATGATTTGTGGGCATGTGTTTGATCTGCTGGTGCCTCCAGCAGAATAAATGGGTGCCTCAGATACTGTGTTCACCAGTTTTTCACCACACTGATGGAGTGATTTCAGGGTTTGAGGATCACTTTCTCCGGAGAATGTTGTTTCAAGCAGTCTTTTGGCCAGCTCAGAAAGACCTTGTGGCATCAGACATCAGTCTGAAGGTTGCCAATGCAGTCAAAAAGGTTAGGAATTGATTAGAAATTATTTTCTTGGGCTAGCTTCAGCCACCTAAAAATCGGACGCCTGGTATAAGGTGGTTTTGCCTGCAGTCAGTGCAAGTAGGTCTATTTCTCAGCAGCATGCTTGTGTACACCCTGAGACGTATCTCAAGGATTGGTAGAGGAATGTTTCTCCAAGGTTTTGGTCTCTGATGGCTGTAGAAGTATGGAAATGGATAGGCTGGGTCTGGCATGACTGCTCCAGCTAGGTGAAGCTGGATGAAATAGATATAACCTTGATGAGCTGGTATGGTTTTGGTTTTGTTTGGTTTGCTCTGGTTTTAAAGGAAGTCTGAATTCTACCATGCCCATGAGAATCGCTTACCTAGAGAGCTAAAACTGCCTCCTCTGAGTCCTGTGTGTATATACTTTTTCGGCTGAAACTAGGTCTGTCTCAACTGTAGGCAAAATTACTGTGGCCTGAAAGCTCCCTGGTGTTCTGTGAGAAATGAGCAGGAAGCTGTCAGGCCATTTCCCATGAGGATGAATGTGCCAACCACAAAAACCCCATCCTCAGAGTTGACCATTTGGTTCTTCTGATAATGGTGGCCATGGTTACCGTGACACAGGGGAGCAGAGATCCTTCTCTCCAATGGAGGCAAGAAGCAGCAGGCTGGACTTTTATATTATAGAGAGCTTTCCCAAGCACAGCCCTCTGCTGCAGAGGGAGGGTGCTGCCCACACAGACCTTCCCTCCCCGCTCCTTCCTGCTTCACCATGCCATCCCATGCTCCCATTCTAACTCTGCACCATGGTTGTATGCCTACAGGATGTCTTCCTGATCTGCTTCTCCCTTGTCAGCCCGGCATCTTATGAAAACGTCCGTGCTAAGGTGAGACCCTATCCTGGTCCACCAGGGGCTGAGGGAGGTGATGTTGGTGGTGGTCTTGCAAGAACAGTGATTATGGGTGGGGACTATCAGTAGGACATCTAGGTTCAAGAGGTCATATCTCTTTTCTGTTAGTCAGAAGCCTCCTTCAGATGCCTTTTCTGGTTCATTTAAAGAACTCTACTGATGGGCTACTATTCATCTTGCTGGGCAATTGTGCTGTCAGATCACAGACTTATGTTCTGGTGGCATCTTTCAGCCAAGACTGTCAAAGCACACACACATAGGACTGGTCCATAGGGTATAGAAGCAGGTACCCACAGCTTTTAGGTGGGAAGTGAGGAAAGAAGGGAGAGACTGGTGAACAGAGAACGAGAGTATGTCCTCCCTACCATGTTAATGTTCTTCCCTGGGTGGGAGGGTCGAGGGCTGAGAACAGCTGGTGCTTTTGCATAACAAAATTTGAGCTCCCTCACAGGGATTTTGCCTGAGGACCCAGCAACAGGAGTTGGCCTGGCCCAGGCTATAGTGCCCAACAATGGATGTGAGAAAGGACAGACTGTTAGCTACCTTGCTGACATTTTTTTCAGGAGTGCCTCTTTGTTTTCCCATATGCATGCCCATACATGTGATCTCTTCTCACACCTTTGGCATTTTGCTCCTTTGCTAGTGGTTTCCTGAGGTACGGCACCACTGCCCAAGCACTCCCATCATCCTCGTGGGCACAAAGCTGGATCTCCGTGATGACAAGGACACCATTGAGAAGCTGAAGGAGAAGAAGCTATCCCCCATAACGTATCCTCAGGGTCTTGCTCTGGCCAAGGAAATAGGTATGTGTTTGGGAATCATCTTGGACCTACTGAAAAGAGAGAGGCAGAAGAAAAGGGCTTCACCTCATTTTAATGAGGCTTTTGTAGTGGTATCTCACAGTGGTATCTCCGAGGGACACAAGGAGACACATCCAGGACCATGGGACAAGTGCACTTGAGGAGACTCAGGAAGGAGATCTGCTTCTTGAGGAAGACTCAGCCCCTCAGGCCACTGTGTTCTGCCTCTCTCTGGCCACCATCCTCCACATATACACACTCACATTCTCCTCCCCTTTTACTCTGCTTACTTCTGTCTGGGACAGTATTTTTTCTGTGCAAGCCACAGTTGCACTGTGGGCAGAGGCCACTCCTCCACATCCGGAGAGGCAGAAGAGAGGCTTGTAACATCTCTCAGGAAGAGTTGCAACTGCAGTTTCCTGTCTCTGCTTCTGTCTGCTGGGGCTTATATGTGCAATCCCAGGTATGGGTGTCTCACTTCACCATCCAGCTCTTCTCAGATGTGGCACACAGAAATAGGAGAGAGGATCAGAAACATAGCTTGAAAGAGTTTTCAAGAAGGAGCTCAGCAGAGAGAGTGTCTAGCCAGGATGATATGGTCAGACACACACAATGGCTCTGCTCTGGCTACCTGGGTAGCCAGTAGGCAAACATAGGTCTAGTGCAGCTGGCAAGCTTTGCCCTGAAGTCAAGACTGTCTGAGTGAGTGAAGTGTGTCCTGACAATGTGAAATGTCTTTGGTCACCTGAGATGTGTTTATCCAGCTTGGGCAAGAGCCAGGTACCGTGCTTTCTAGCACAAGGAGCAGAAACCTGGGTACCCCACTGCCTACCCCGCTCCCTTCCTCCCCATTGCAACACCTGCTTTCCTCCCGACAGACTCTGTGAAATACCTCGAGTGCTCGGCTTTGACGCAGCGAGGCCTCAAGACGGTGTTTGACGAGGCCATCCGAGCAGTCTTGTGCCCGCAGCCCACCCGGACAAAGAAACGGGCCTGCAGCCTCCTCTGAGCAAGTAAGTCTGATGGGGATCCCTGGGAGTGACACCAGTGGTGCTTTCCTGCTCCTGAACCCAGATGGTCGGAGCCACTCTGTTGCTGGTGAGGCTGTTGGAAAGGGTCACCTTCAAAGGGAGAGAGGGAGACAACCAATCCTGCTTGAGGAAAGGACAGGACGTGGTGTGATGCACCCAGGATCAACTTCCCTCTCCTTTCTGCTTGACTGTGGGCAAGTTTGTTCCCATCTCTTGATGTGGGACAGCATAGGATTTTCCACAGGTGCCCTTACAGAGAAGAATTGTCTGTCACAGAGGAACTACATTCAGGCTGCCCTGGAGATGACCTACCCTGAGACCTATGGGGCCATAGCCTTTGCTTGTGGAAAAAAAAGTTGTTCCTTAATCATGTTCCTTAATCGTGTCCCTTCCTTTACCAAGCCCTGCTCACTTCAAGGGTTTTCTTGTGTTGTTCATTGGCAAGTGGCAGCTTCTCCTGCAGGACTCCTTTACTGCTCATATTGTCCCTGCCTGCCTCCACTTCAGTACAAGGCAGCAGAGGGAGGAGAGAGGCTTCAGGACAAGAGTCAAAGCTGGTCAGAGCCTGATGAGAGAGAAGAGTGACAGCCTGCTAGTTTGAACCCTGTCCCTTCATACCCACCATCACCAGAGCAGAGGGAGGGAAAGCAGGAACATGGTTGAGCTGGTATTATGAGGTCTGTCATGTTTTTGGCTATAGATCCCGGTCTCATCCTGATGCCCGGTGCTGCCCAGCACACAGGAGAGTGATGGCTCCAGCAACCCAGAGCTCAGCACCTTGAGGCGGTCATCGCTTTTTCCTTCTGCCAGCTTGAAAGACTGCTGTGGGTCTGTAGCACTGGTTTGTCTGTTCGCACAACGTCCCCGCTCTTGCCTCACCTGCCCAGCTGCCCCTTCCCTTCCTTCCGGGCCCCTGAGTGAGTAAGACCCAATAAACAGACTGTACATTCTTGCCATGTCTGTGATGTGTTGCGCCTCAGGGGGACACAGCCCTGAAGCCGTGAGCAGCGGGATGGCTGGGCTGGAGGCAGCTGTGCCCAGCTGTGCCCCTCCTTGGGCAGCGACAGGCAGCCCCACAGGAGGCCTGGTGGGCTCCAGTCGCTCTAGGATGATTGCTAAGTCGCTAAGTTCTCAGCTGAGCCCCCCGCACGCCTTTTGCCTCTCCTCTTCTCAGTCTCCATGCATTCAAAGGAAAAGTTGTCTCCCCTCTGTGCCACTCAGAGGATGGGATGCAGGTTTTGGGAGGAGACACCTGCAGGCAGACTCCTCTCCGTGGGGACTGCCCCCGCAGGTTGCTGGGGCCATCTTTTCACCAAAACATTGCTGCATTAATCCTTCTAAGCTCTGGCATTCTCTCACACTGCCAGACACAAGCAGAGTGAGAATGGGAAGGGGGAGGGCAGGGAAAAAAATGAAAGAGGGAGGAATGAGTCACCAGTCCAGACAAATTGCCTCCAAGACATTAAAATTAAGCTGAAGAGAGTGGTCCCAGCGGTACTGTGGATCTGGCAGCTGTGAGCACCTGCTTTCCTGATGCATTGCAGGGACTTCAGAGTAAGTGTTACAGGGTGGCTGCTACTGCTACTACGTGCAGGAGAGGGGAGGGCTCAGGGTGTGATGATTGGCACTGCAAAATCCTGCAGTCCTAGGAGGGCACAGAGAAACTATGGAGTTGAGCCAGATTACTGCTCCTGAATGCAGCAACACTTCTAAGCTTCAAAGGCACTGAGGAGGTGCATTGGTGATGCCAGGTGCAACCAGACACAGTGAAGCTCTCCAAGTTCCTTGCTGTCAGGGAGATTTCTGCAGTTCCAATTCATGGTCCGATCTGAATGAGGCAGTTCATTCAGTGATGTGACACATTACCTACTGATAACGTTCAGAGCAGCCCCTGGCAGGCACCCTGTGGCAGGGAGTTCCACAAATATCTGCATTACATATGGGCTGCTGGATGAATTGCCCAGACACCATCCAAAGGTAATATAAATTATGTCAGTGTAAGTCCAGAAGAGTAAAAATGAAGCCTCTGGTATGGGCAGAGACCTGTGAAAGGGCAAGGGACACCAAGTCTTGAAAATGGCATCTAACCTCCTTTAAGCATCCTAAGCATGACTCAAGACAATATATTCCCAGTGGTTTATTACTTCTGTCCGGTTTTCAAGCCTTGGCTTTTACCTTTGCAGTCTGCCCCATCCCCTGTAATGTACAGCGATGCACACGATGTGTGTGAAACAAAATTCATGTATCTGCCTACCTGTGGAGGTGCACAGGCGGAGCTCTCCTCCCAACACAATTTAAGCACTTTGCACAGCTCCCCACTGGAGCTGAGTCAGGGTATGGGACACGACTCAGAGCACTGAGGAAATGATCTTGAGACCTGGAATTTGTGATGCTATGACTGTCCTTATGCTAACAAGTCCTGCAAGGTTAGCAGGACTGTGTAGAACTCTGCTGTTGCATGGCTGTTTCTTCTAACAAAGGAGTTTGGGGGTTTCTGCATGGTGCTACAGACACCTGCCCTGCCATGGTAAAGAAAACCTGTGCCATTCCTTTCCCAGTGAGGATTCCTCTCTCTTCTGTGTCTTTAGACAGCATTGAGGCCAAGTTCTGGCCTAAAGGGGCCTGGAAGCTTTGAAGTCGCGCACTGCCTTCATCAGCTTACCTTTGAGCAGCACTGGCTGCATATAAAGTTGCCCAAGTAGGTTTGGATGCCAGACCCTGGCTATGCTGTGCTCCAAGAGATACTGCGTTCTTTTGTTAAAGCTGGAATTTACCCTAGGAGCTCAAATGCTCACAGTAGCAGTGCCAAATGTCAAGAACTGGGTGATGCACAGCACAAGGAGTCACTGATGTTGGCTGCAGGGCAGGAAAGGGGGTGAGAATGACAGGGAAACCCTTTGTGCAGGGAATGGGATGGAAAATCCTTCATGGGACAGCTGCTCTCACAAAGATTAATTTCTTTCTTAGATCCATTTCTTTGGGGTCTATGCCTTCCAGCAGAGATTAAATTTGGGGAAAATTTGGGGCTGTTAAACTGGAACATTTTCCCAACGAAGGTGCAAAAAACAAGAGATCAGGTGTGGAGTCAGGAAAAGAGTTGAAAGAGACAGTTCCCTATCTGCCCATCTGCCCTCATCTCCATCCATCTGGAGGTGCTCACAGGACAGAACAGAAGGGAGAATGATTTGTGTGCTCAACATCCGCCTCGATTTCTGAGCACCGTGCCAGACAGAATGTTTTGCTGTGTCCCTGCAGTCCCGAGCAGCACCAGTCCTACCTACAAGACCCTTGGAACAGGGACCCATCTCCTGGGTGCCCCCAGGAGACCCGAGCCGAGTCACCCCTCACTGCATGCCACTTTCCCACCACATAGCTGCTCTCTGCATCCCTCTTTTCTTCCTCTCCCTCTCCCACCACTGTCATCAGCTTCTTTCACCACACTCCTCATTCCTTCATCCTCCCCTTTTCTGCGCTCCCCTCATCCCTCTGCCCATCTCCTTGCGCCTCCCTCTCCCGCTTTTATTCTCCATCCCGTTATCTCCCCCCCGCTCATCTTTGTTCTCCTGCCCTGTCGTCCACCCCCTCCTTCCCCTCCTTCTCCTGCCGGTGTTTCCGTGCGTGGCGCCCATTGGCTACCGGCACCCGTCCCCCGGTACCGGCGCTCCGCTCCCTGCCCGAGCCCCGCGGAGGGTGGGGGCTGCGTGGGGGAGAGACGCGTGGGGCTGAGGGGCCGCGCATCCCCCGCCCGCCCCCGGCCCCTTCCCACGCCCGGCGCGGCGGGGGCGGTGGGCAAGTCCGGCGAGAAGGACCCGCGCCTCCGGTAGCGCCCGGCGGGGCTCGCTCCCTCCGGGAGCGCTCTGCTCCGTCGCGTTTAAGAAACAGGAACGGGAAAAGCATGACACGGATTCTCCCGGGGAAGCGGAGGAAAATGTACATCCCGACGACATGTAAGTACCCGGCGGCTCTGCCCGCTCTTCCCAGATGTCTCCCGCGAGCATGAGTCCATGCAGAAGTTAAGTCCGCAGTTCCAGAGAAGAAAACCTGCCGGCCACCCCCCGCGCCCGGCCCTCCAACTCTGCCAGTCCAGCCTGGTCCTTACGAGAGAGCTCAACCCCGAGGTGAGACGGGAGAGTCCTGAGGTGGAGCAGGGCTGTGGGAAACAGGGGGGACAGGAGGGGAGGGGGTCAAGGGAGGGTGGTGCAGGTTATTTGGCTGTTTTGTCCCTCCCAGCTGCTATTCATGGTTTGTTACCAGGACTAGGCTCAGCTTTCAGCATCCACTTCCTCCTCTCATTCAATGCAGAAATAGATATATATATACATTTATATTTTTCCTCCTAAGGAAAGAAGTAGTGCCCATTTCCCATCTCCTCTTACCTCTCTGCCTTCTTCCTGCTCTCAGCTGCATGAACCAGGCATATTCTGGTAGCACCTGCCAGAGGATCCCAAGCCTCTTGCAACAGGTGCTGTCCACATTAGGAACAGATCCAAGTGGATGCCAACACACTATCAGTCTGAGGCCAGGGTTGCTCACCAACTCGTACCTATGCATGTGCTGCCAAAGCAACCAGCAGAGTGGATCCAAACTAGATGGAGCACTGGTGCCCAGTGTTTTTTCTGCCAAACTAGACAAAACGTGTGACACGGCATCTGAGCTGGTACATGGTGCTTGACAAAGTTAGAATGGCAGCAACAGACCACACCTGCTTAAAGATCAAGTTTCTTCTCTGCAGCTGCCTAAGCAGGAAAATGAGTTTATAGGAAATACATGCTTTTTGTTGCACACCTTAGCATTTTTGATAGGGCTTCTGAAGCTACCCTGAAGCTGGATTTACTCTTGCTAAACAGCAGTCTGAACAGCTGGCTTTGAGGTCTGGATCCCAGACACATCTCCCAATGCTTTGCAGCTCCACCAGGAGTATCTCAATCCATAGTTGGTATTTGTAAGGCTCAAAATGTTTGGCCTTTTTCTTTTTTAAATTCCTTTGCATGCAGGAGGAACATGCAAAGGTATTCCTATATATATGTCTTCATCTTTTAGAGAATCGTCCTTTTAATGAACATACTGTTCTGGCTTCTGCCACCTTTTGTTTGTTTTGCTATCTTTGCCCCTAGAGCAGCCATTGTCCTCCTCTTTTCTCCAACGAGTGATTTGTGTCACTAGATCAGAATTGGAAAGCATATCAGAGGAAACATCCTTGAACTTAGAGTTTCAAACCACTTCCTACTCTGCTTATTCATTGCAGCCACTCATGATGTGTGGGACTACCCAATGTTGCAGGACCCTATGAGATGGGCTTCTGTCAGGACAGTCACAGCACAAGACACCTGAAAATTGAAAACATCTAAACAATCCCAGTCCTTCAAAGTTCAAATGCTCTAAAGCAGGAAACATTTACACAATAGCCTGTAGAAATGGCCTTAAGATGTAGTTGCTCAACTGTGTTTTTATAGGGCCTCTCAGATGAGATTCCTTCAGCATAAAATTTAATACATCTCTGGAGTCTGTTGGGTTTGCCTGTCCGATGTCCAAGGAATCCATCTAAAGCTCAGGTCTCCCCTAGAGTTTCCAGAACATGGAATGGCACCTACAAAACAAACAAGTAACAAAACCCCAACCAAACAAAAAAACCAAAACCCCTAAACACTGTAATATTAGACATTTGAGAAATACATTGTAATACTATAGAAAATCACATCTGCAAGAAAGGTCTCTGGAGTGTCTCTGGCTTCCTGAAAGTAATTAAGGTTGGGAGTCCTTTCCTTTGACATCCCCAGTTTTAATTTCAATAGAAGAGGAGCTTCAGACAGACCCCTAAGAGATTTGTTAAGATGTGAAAAGGTGAGCCTCAAGGTCCCCATGCACTTCCACCAAGTCATTTTCCCTTCCAAGGACCTAATTCAGGGGGATGACCCTGTCAGTCCACACTTCCAGAAAATTTTTCCAGAGCTG